AACCTAGATGGAGAGTGCATTTATTTTGCAATGTAAATACTTGGTCTCCTCAAGAAGGACTTATTCATGGTTCCCCATTGAAGATGAATTTTATTCCCCATCAGTGTTATCACAACCTTCTTCTGGAATATCGACATGACACCAAGCGACTGACTCTTTACTTGAGCAGTTTGATTATTTCTGATTTCTCTACGACAAATGGAGGTCTCTTCATGAGCAGTTTGTCCATCCTCGATGAAATTATTGATTCTCACCTCCAGCAATATTTTATGGGTATCTTTTGAGAGACAACAAGCGGCAGTTTCTTCATGAGACAACTTGTGTGTTATCGATACCTTGAAAAGACAACAAGCGGCAGTTTCTTCATGAGACAACTTGTGTGTTATCGATACCTTGAAAAGACAACAAGCGGCAGTTTCTTCATGAGACAACTTGTGTGTTATCGATACCTTGAAAAGACAACAAGCGGCAGTTTCTTCATGAGACAACTTGTGTGTTATCGATACCTTGAAAAGACAACAAGCGGCAGTTTCTTCATGAGACAACTTGTGTGTTATCGATACCTTGAAAAGACAACAAGCGGCAGTTTCTTCATGAGACAACTTGTGTGTTATCGATACCTTGAAAAGACAACAAGCGGCAGTTTCTTCATGAGACAACTTGTGTGTTATCGATACCTTGAAAAGACAACAAGCGGCAGTTTCTTCATGAGACAACTTGTGTGTTATTGATACCTTGAAAAGACAGCAAGCGGCAGCCTCTTCAATGAGCAACTTGTATGTTATTGTCACCTTTAAAAACAGCAAGCGGCAGTTTCTTCATGAGACAACTTGTATGTTATTGACACCTTTGAAAGATAGCAAGTGGCGGCCTCTTTATTTGAGCAGCTTGTGTATCCCCAACAATAATGTCTACTCAGCAAATGGCATCCCTTTCGGAAAAGTCCCGTGGGGAAGTTTGTTATTTTATCCTTTTCAAGCGATATCTCGTTTAGAGAAGAAATGTGTTACCGTTCTTGGTAAAATTCAGAAATCAGAGATGTCTATCTCCAGTCACAGTGCTGATGTAAATCATTTCTTTTTCCAGTCACAGTGCTGATGTAAATCATTTCTTTTTCCAGTCTTCGTACTGATGTAAATCATCTCTTTTCAAGTCTCAATACTGATGCAAATCATTCAAGAGTCTCTCGTTTGAAGTCTATGACTCTGTTTCCCCAGTGGAGTTACAACCTCTTCCTCTGTGGGATTACTGTATAATGTGCTTGGTTTCTCCAGCGTAGCATGTCTCATATGGCGTCATTCCCCATAAAATTCAAAACATCACATTCATATCATATTGTAAACATAATCGCGGTATCTTAAGGCCAAAAATTGTGTATTCTATATTTAAGTCCCTTCAATCTCGTCGAAATGAAGATCCTAATCTTCATATCTCCAGATAGAAGAAACTTAAATAGGGGCAGCTGTTGTACCCCAATTTTTGACCTAAGATCCCACTTGCATTTTTGCATTTTTTACACAAAAGTCAAGGTCACTAAATACGGTCGATTTTAACCTCTTACCTTCGAGCTTTGACTATGTGAAGATTGTCGAGTGTTTTGAAAATTCTTAGCCTATGTATCACTAACTTCTAATCAAGCACGGAGTGTGTGTGTTTTTCGTTTCTTTGATTTCATTTGCAGGAAACAGATCTGAATCAAGAGCATCAGGCGTCACGCCTCGATTAGGGTTCGGAATCTCTCAATCCGGAAGTACAATTGATCGTTGATTCTTGAAGACTGATTCATCAGGGCAATTGTGTGATTATTTCCACGCTCTGTTCAATAAGTGGTCTCAAGCTTCTCCACAACTTCCTCAGAGCACGAACAAGATTTCATCATCACTGGTTCACATGTGCATCAAGATGCTTTGGAATGCGAAGAAAGATCAAGTTTGTAGGTCAATTCAAAGCACTTTATCCAAAAGTCAACGCTTGCACATTCAAGTTCAAACGATCGTAACTTTTCATTATTCAACATTTTTGAATGGTTACTTTTGCGTACAATTTTCTTTGACGTCATCTCTAACCCCTCTTTACCAGTCAAGGTCTGATTAGGTGCGGAGGATCATCAAAAGTTCGGATACTCAGAGGTCACTTTAATGACTGTGGCCTAATCTCAAGTAACAATTACTCGACTTTCAAGGATTGTAACTATTTCGATTTTCATCATTTCGGGATGGTTCTTTTTGCAACATGTCACAAATGATATCGTCTACAAGATTGCTTCAAGGATCGACATCCGAATGCGTTTGGAAGGCCATGAATTTCGCTTGAACATTTTAGGCTTAAAAATTGATTTTGTATTGAGGTTGTTTTCCACTGAGTCAAGGGTAAAGACAAGATGTTGAGTTTGAGGATTCATTGATTATATATTGCTATAATACAAGTTGCTTGTATTCGAGCATTAGTAATTAATGAATTAAAATTGGATTTAGATCAAGTTTCTTTGTTTGTTCATCAAGATTCAGTTCATGGTAAAAGGTTTAGGTGTTTTATTTGGAATGCATTTCAAGGTAAAAAAGACCATTCAAGGAATCTAAGTCCATCAATTCTACAAGGACTATTTCTAAGGAAAAGTTCTTATTCAATCCAAGAATTTGATACAAACTTTAAAGAAAATTTCAAGATCATTGATTCAAGGATATTCGTCATGTCTAGTTCAAAAGTGGAGAATGCATCATGCTAATTTTTAGGCATATCTCAAGTTTGCAATTTCAAAAAAATCTCAAGACAAATCCATTCCAAACTCAAATGAAATATTTAAAGTTACATCCAAATTCAAGACTTGTTACAAATTTCAAATTTCATTACAAATATTATAGCCACAAAATCACATGAAAAAAACATTGTAAATCCTAAAGCCTATTTTAAACTATCCTTCATCAATTTTCAAAATACCAAGTCTAAGTCTATGCTATTATTTTCAAGCCCATTTTCCTTGCTTCATGATGCATCAAATTGCTCCATAACTTGTACCAATGTTGTCCATAAATCAGCTGCTACAAACACTTCAAAACAGTCCAAACCTTGCTTCAAAATTATCCATACTGTATGCATATCAGTCCCAAAAACATGCTACTGCAATGCTGCTCCAAATCCTGTCAAACCTGTCCAAAAACAAGTCAAAATTCTGCACAAATAATGCCAAAAACCTGTCCAAAAGCAGTATAAAATTTCACAAAAATAGAGGATGCAAATCCTGCATTAGAAAGGGAAAAATCAGCATATCAATTTGTCCAAGACCCACAAATTTTCCCTCCAAAAATTCATTCTGAAGGGGGGAAAACAAAGTAAAAACCTGTGGAAATTTTCTAATAAACCTCAAAAGTTTAGGACAAAAACTGGAGAACATCATTTTGCTGTAAAGGAAACGAAAAAAGAAAAAACACAAAAAAACAGCATATCTCTATCCCTCACTCTCTCTCCCCAAGAAAACTCTTCACCAAAAATCCATTCCTCCCACTTCCGAAAACCAGAACACTTTTTTTGTTGTATACCTTTGAGTCAAATGAGGAGGCTAATTTCATATACATACTTTTCACTCTTACCACAAACAAGACCATTTTCTTTCACTACTGTCTTCTTGTAGTAATTTTCTTAATAGTTACAACATCTTCCCCATTGGCAACAGGATACACAACATATACAAGGACACAAATAGGACAATGCTAATTTCTATAGTGTTGTACACCTACCTCCAAAAAGTCCTGCATATGACCTTTTGTCAAAAATGCTTGAATATGATCCTAAAAGGCGTATAATAGCAGCACAAGTTTTGGAGCATGAGTATCTCAAAATGGAACCACAGCCTGGGCGGAATGCACTTGTACCATGCCAACCTGGAGAGCCATTTGTGAATTATCCCACACGTCCAGTGGACACAACAACCTCCCTTAAGGTCAGCACTTTCGAAGAAGGAAACTTAGTCCGACCAAAATGGACCGGAGAAACTCCTCTCTCTCGCTTGGTTCGAGCTCTCATCTCTTTCAAACCCGTATGTTCTATACTCAAGCTTGGTGCTAGACAGGTTTTAACAAGTACAGCTGAGAAAAATAACATACCTTGGAGGGAAATGACAAAAGAGATTTTGGAGTCAGATGTTTATAAGGAGCTGGACAGCATTCAAAACGAGTCTTTACTGTATCCAGATTATTATTTGAATCCATTCCATGCTTATGATGAGGGGAATCTTACATGGCTGGCAGCAGCAGAAGCAGAAGCTGCTACTAAGTCAATGGTAAGACGAGCGATTCCTACTGCTTCTTCAGTAGATGAAGCGACTCAAATCCTACGCGGAAACTGGCTTAATGCAATTGAACAACACCATCGACAGCCACATACCAACTCCCATCATCATCACCATCACCATAGCCCCAACCTGCATCATATTTAACACGACTGTAAACTACCGGCCTTGATTTATCAATTTGCATCCATCAAAACAATAACAGAAACGCACACGCGAAGAATCAATGGAGACAAATCGTAAAAAATCTGAAGAGGAAGTAATTTCGAAGAAGAAGTGGAAGCGGGCTTACCTCTGATTTCGCAATCATCTTGGTTAATTTGAAGAAGGCACCAGACTTTCCTCTGGTAGGTAAGTATACTCCACGCTCTCCTTAGATAATTTGACTGTCTTGCTCAATTGATTGTGTCGAATATTTTCATCACTGCATAATCTGAGTTGAGATGTTGAAACGAATCCCACGGTTAACCTTCCACTTCACCTTCCGCCGCTACTCTTAAACCTGCAACTTTACCAACTCACCAAATCTCCACGCTTTTCTCATTCCTCCATCTCTTTTCCCCTTTCTCTCTCCACGTATCTCCTTTTTCCTCTTATCTTCATCTCCTCTAACATCAAAATCAAAACAACACATTGAACTGGAATAATGAAAAAGAAAAAAAGAAAAAACACTATGGCACTTCTCTGCTTCAATTCCTTCACACTCACCCCTCTTTCATCTTCTTCCTCCATTTCCCCTCATCCCACAGCAAGCCCTATTTCTAGAGTACAAATCGGTTTGCCCACCAACTGTTCGAAGGAACTTCGAATCTCGACACCCATTGTTGTTAAACCGAGAAAATGCGATTTTTATTGCATCCGCTGCTGCTGCTGGTGATTCTAATGTTGCAGATGTAGTAGAAGGAAGCGAGAGCAAGGAAGAGAGTGGTGTTGTTTCTGTAGACAAGCTTCCATCAGAATCGAAATTGAAAGAGAGGGAAGTTTTGTTTCTGTAACTAACGGCCGCCGTTCTGAGATGAAGAGTAGGAGGGTTTTCTTCAACCCCCATTTTTGTGAATCCGGAAGATGGGTCCGGACCACCCTGACCCGGTCCGGCCCATCATTTTTTTAAAATTATTTTTTGTTTGTTTTCTGATCTTTATTTGTTTTACAACTTGGATTTATTGTTTCATTTCTTTAGGCCCACTTCGATTTGCTTCATACTTCACCTCATTGTTTTGTTTAGACACTTTTTAAATTAGCTTAGTTTTAATTTATTTTAATTAGTTTCCATTTTTTAATTTAAACTCATATAAATAATTAGTTATCATGCATGCTTTTTTTTGTTATTATTAGATAGTTTTTCTTAATTAATTAATTTCAAAATTAATTTGGTAATCATTAGTGAACTTTTATATTCGTTTTAGTTTAGTTTAATAATTTCTGTCAATTCATTTGGTTACAAATCTTTTCTTTTCACATTTGGTTTTGTCATCCCTTTTAAATTAGAATCATCATTGTTATTTATAATTTTCCCTTCTTGATTAATGTTAAATGTATGCTGGTTGATCTCGTGCCAATTATTCTCCAATTAATTTCATGATTTATTTTTTCGCTAATTGCATCAAATCCAAGGGAAATATTTTAACTCAGTTGACTTCACGTCATCAAATACATCTTTTACAATCGTGCGAATAGCCTCATTCATGTTTTGCTTGCTTACTATTTTTTCAAACTTAAGACAATTTTCCCAAAAGACTCCACTTTCAAACTCACTCCTTTTAAGTCAAAACTTCGACACTAGGTCGTCGAATCTTCAAAAATCTCGTCCACGCCTATTTTCAGCCAAACGAACCATTTTAATCAAACAAACAATTTTAACCAAAAACAGATATTTCAAAAGGTTCCTGCGGAGTACCGCAGATGCATTGGGTGCTAATACCTTCCCATTGTATAACCAACCCCCGAACTCTCGATCTCTTTCAAAAAACGCATTGTATTTTTTTATTACTTTCAAGTATTATTTTACATTGCATATTTTAGGGTTTTATTTCGCTCTTTTCCCTTTTCCCTTGGAAATAATAAAGCGCGGTGGCGACTCTTGCTTTTGCGAGTCAAGTTAATTAATAGCTTGATCTCCGATTTTCACCGCTACAACATGGTCTTGACATATTCAACAGGTTCAAAAGATCCCAAAATGCACAAGATTGACAGATGAATTTTCCAGTCAACTGAGCCAAATTTGACTGTATACTGAAAAGTCAAACTTTGACTTTTTGGTCAAAATCAAGTGTCAAGATTTATTTTTCATCAAGACATGTCAAAATATGAAACTTGTTCATCGAGAAATCAAGAATTGCAAATTAGGGTTTAAAATGAAGAATTTTCATAACTTAGAAATTTTCTAAGTTATGAAAATCCCTAATTTTTTCCTAACTTTGTCCCATTTTTTCATCAAGATGAATTTGGATTAAAACAAAAGTCAAAACATGAAAGTTATAGTCCGTTGCAAAATCTACAACTTTAATTCACAAAGTTTCCTCAAAAGAAGCTTGTAGCTCAAGTTACAATTTTTGGAATAGGGGTGCAAAACATTCTTAACTTAGAAAATTTTTGACCTATTCTAGGCAGGATTTTTGCCTAACTTCATGGACACTTTTCACAAGCTTCCACTTGGAATTTCAAATTGCATTACAAAGATGGATTGTAGTACACATTCCAAGCTTTCCAAAATGTCCAAGAACTTCTCAAACACCCTTGTGGTTAGGGAGAATCGAATTTGTGAAGATGGGCAAAAGTCACTTTGTTCATAAGCCATGTACATGTTCATAACTTGTGCATTTTTGAAATCAGCATGTGCAAGCTACATTACAGGCCTCTAATCTTATTTACACTCAAAAATTAAATGCCAATCCATTGTGTTCTAGCTTTGTTTTGTTCATATAGTCATTACACAAAGAATTAAGCCTTAATTAGAAAAAGCAATTTATCCATTTTTGTAAAGTTACACTTTATGTCAAGTTTGCAATCCAAGAGGTACAATGCATATCTTCTAGCACAAGTTATTGAGCATATCCCACTGATCAAGAGCCAACTTTGCAGCATATTTGAGGGGTCTAGAGGAGCCTGTAACAGGACTTGGCATTTTTGACTTAAGATAGAAGAAACTTGGCATATTGATCATCAACTCTCATTTCTGCAAACACAAGCCAAAGTAAACTTGTTGAACACATTCCAAACATCAAACCTGAGCTAAGACACGACCTAACCACCTTCAATACCTCCCCATTCACAGAAACACCATTGTACTGCACAAAACAGGGCATCCCTGCAGATTGAGTGGCACAACTCAATCCATTCGTGCGCCTTGGCCAAAACCACTTCATACACACTCCATAACATCCATACAAACTATCCCAAGCCCTAGCTTCAGACTGTAACACCTCTAACCAACTTCACCATTTTCACTTTTTCTGTTTTGCAGGTGGACTTCTATAGCTCGATTCATTTAGTTTCAAAGCAAGCTAAAGGTTGGAGAAGCATCCCTGAACTTCAAGCAAGCTATACAAGTCCTCAAGTTGCACTAAAAGTACCTCCATTGTCATACACGAATCAAGCAGAACATGTAAGTTTTTGAACTTCTATCTCTCTATCTAGGCATAGTTAGGTTTAAGTTTGTGAAGAAAATATGTTCTAATCATAGCCCTGAAGCCATCCATATAGTTACTTTTCATTTATGTTGTGTGTGCTAAGAGTATTTTGAACCTGAACATTAGGAAAAAGTTAGGTCAAGAATTGGGGGAGAAGAAATTCTCTCTCATTTCTGAGAGTTAGATCAAGTTCTTGGTATGTATGGATTCGTGGTTTGATGCCTGACATTTTTTGTGTTATAAGTTTGTGCTAAAAGTCCAAGAATCAGGATGTTTGAACAAGGTGGGAAAGGCGCGCGTTTTTGACAAAATTGTTGCTGGAGGTTGAAGACAAGCCTTCTTGGGCTGGACCTGACTTGTTCTTTCTTTTTGCACTTTTATTTTTCACATGCACCCCCGTGGCCCATTTTGAGATATATTTGTCATTTTTGATTTTTTTTCCTTTTGATTTTGATTTTATATTTTTATCCAAACATGAAAAAACATTAAAAATATTTTTCTCACATTTTTTGCATTTTATTTGGTATTTATTTTGTTTCATTTAGTTTATATGTAAATAAATATATAAATACTTTTATTTAAAATACTTAAAATAATACAAAATACATTTTTATTTTCTGATTTTATTTTATTTTATCTCTTGAAAACATTTTCCAAAAAATATACTTTTTTTTGTAAATAATAAATATTTTTATTTTTTATATATATTTAATACATAATATATATATATATATATATATATATATATATATATATATATATATATATATATATATATATATATATATATATATATATATATATATATATATATATATATATATATATATATATATATATATATATATATATATATATATATATATATTTAGAATATTTAGGATAAAAAATACCAAAAATAATACATTTTTATTTTTATTAATATTTAACCTCAAAAATACTTTTTTTACAATATACTTTCTTTTTATTTATTTTTTGTACATAATTAATAAATATTATATATTAAATAATAAATACCATTTTATTTAGCAAATTAGGGTTTTTGCCCTAAACCCTAAAAAATCCAAAAATTAAACCTTTTTATTTTTGTTTATTTATCACATGAAAAACACTTTTACATACATATAAAAATCATTTTTTGCATCTTGCATATTTATTGTATTTTTATTTAATTTTTGTATATTAAATAATTTGTATTTGCAATTTGGATGTAATAGCTTAGGTTTTAATTTCTTGCTAAATATCCCCATTTGAACATTTGTACCCCCCATCCCATAAATTGTGTTGTAATAATTTAGGACCTTTAAATTCCGCATTTAAAAGCTTTCTAAATATGCCATGATAGACTTAGGGTTTTGTATGCAAAAATCAACCAAAAATAGCTTGACCTAATTCCAAGATAAAAGCATGAAAATGGACAACACAAATCACACTTGCACCCCTTAGGGTTACTCCACTTGTTGCCTTCAATAATGGGCCATGTTGCATGTTAGGTGTCTTGGGCAAAACAAAAGCAAATCAAATGATCATAGTCCCTCGATGACGCTTTCAAAAGTTGCCTAAAAATGATCAAGTCCCTTAAAGGAAAAATTGCCCAAAGACACTTGGCGCCATTGCAATCATGGTCTAAACGATGACCCGCACCCGTCCCGTTCACATCCTAACACAAGATTGTCCACCAAATACAATGGTAGAACAAAATTGTTAAAAGGGTTAAAAACATAGGAAAGATCTTTGAGAAATTTAGGAGTAGACAAACTCTTAGTTACTTGAATCAAACTTGCAAAAACACTTGCCTACTTTTCAAAACCACACATCACAACACACTTTCAAAATAACTTTCAAAAACATTGAAAACTTTTCAAAAGACATACACCTTTGTATACATCCCAACATGGATCATTACAAAGGTTGCCACAACAAATGGCCTCTTTTCAAAACATTTTCAAACCTACACACACAAAGCACCATTTCAAACAATTGAAAATCAAGGCAAGTTGATCTAAGAAAGTAACTAAGAGCCCATGGATAACCATGGATAGAAAGGGTGTTAATACCTTCCCTTTCTATAATCTACTCCCTGAACCCAAGAAAACATCTCAATGGTTTTTGCTGTGCTTTTTAACCTTTCCTTAGGATAAAATAAAAAGTCGGTGGTGACTCTTGCTCAACCGAAACATTTGCGAAAACAAACGCAAAACCTTAAGTCAGTTCTCCCACCGTATCACAGAACTGGCGACTATGCTGGGGAATATTTTAAAGTGGAGTAACCTTAGGGATTAGATCACCCTCTTGCATGACTAAATTGTTTGTTTAATTGCTTTACATCTTGGCTCTCTTGTTTGGGTTTGAAATCCTACACCCGGATTTTGGGAAACATTCATAGATAGCAATACGTTGTGGAAATTGTGTGGGGTAT